CTCGCTTGTGTGCGTTATCCCCTCTCCGACCACATCGTGCTGCAAAAGAATCGGAATTTGCATCACTGCCCCCGAGTGCCGTCCGCCGGGATGACTCGAGGGCGCGAAGATGTCCGCCGGGATGACTGCGCTGGATGCGCATTCGCCGGGATGACTCGAGGGCGCGAAGATGTCCGCCGGGATGACTGCGCTGGATGCGCGTCCGCCGGGATGACTGCGCTAGCTGCGCGTCCGCAGGGATAAAAGCGTAGGCGCGAAGATGTCCGCCCGCGTTTTGATTCAATTGGCGAGTAGGCGTCTCTTTCCTCGACGACCTTTCTTTGTCGGAGTTGGATTGTCTAGTGTTGTCTAGCGTCCGGATAACAGCAGCTCTCCTTCGTGTCGCGCGGCTGATGCGAGAGCGATAGTATGTCGTCCAAGTGACTGTCGTTCTGGACGGCAGCGACGAGCGCGTTGAATCTCTCGATGCAGATCTGCAGGTGATCGTCCTTGGAAATGGTGCGTCTGTTGACGCTCTCCTTGCACAGCGGGCAATGCGCCTTCTTCTTCTTCAGCAATTTTAGTATACAGGCCTTGCAGAACGAATGGCCGCATCGTGTCTTGGTAGGCTCCGTTATGAGCTCCAGGTTTTCTCTGCAAGGGGGTAACCGCTGACTGAAATCTTGTGCACCAATGCCCACTAATGCCCAGCGGGCACTACTTTATCTTGTTATCTTACAATTAGTTTACCTTATTTTATCTTTACAAAGCCCAGAAAAGGCCCAGTAACGCCCAGTAACGCCGCAAATGTGTACACCACAATGCCCTCGGCGGTTCTCCCCCTCGTCTCGCTGCCTCGTCCGGACGAAAAACCGATCGAAGACAAAGCTAAGTCGGCGAAACCAATATCCGATGACAATGGTAAATCGGACGAAAACGTGGTACGGTTTGCCCAAAGCGTATCGACGCGAGCCGCAGAGCGGGACAGAGTTGTAACAGTCGTTCCACTCAACTCGCACGATTGAGATCGGCCACCTCGACGTGCGGTTGCGATAATAAAGTATTCGTATTACTCTAAAAGTGAGTTGCGTCATTACCGCCTTAGCTAACATAAAACCAGCTACCGGCAAGAGAAGTTCTGTGGCACTTCTGCCGGGGCTTCTGAACCTATCTAAGCCCACAAGTGGTGACCCCGACGTGATCCAATCATCGGGAGGCATCGAGTGTATCCACGTGCAAACTTTAATATCCGGCGGGCTGTGAATCGCATTGTCATTTTCATCGCCGTGGGATACGAGGGGGAAGGGCGATATAGGTTCAGACTTCTCGTTTGGCGCGTTGAAGTCGCATCGCGGACGATTAGAATCAATCGTTGTTGCGCGACGTCAACAAGATTCCAGTCAGCGGTTACCCCCTTGCAGAGAAAACCTGGAGCTCATAACGGAGCCTACCAAGACACGATGCGGCCATTCGTTCTGCAAGGCCTGTATACTAAACTTGCTGAAGAAGAAGAAGGCGCATTGCCCGCTGTGCAAGGAGAGCGTCAACAGACGCACCATTTCCAAGGACGATCACCTGCAGATCTGCATCGAGAGATTCAACGCGCTCGTCGCTGCCGTCCAGAACGACAGTCACTTGGACGACATACTATCGCTCTCGCATCAGCCGCGCGACACGAAGGAGAGCTGCTGTTATCCGGACGCTAGACAACACTAGACAATCCAACTCCGACAAAGAAAGGTCGTCGAGGAAAGAGACGCCTACTCGCCAATTGAATCAAAACGCGGGCGGACAAATCGACAGGCCGTTGACAAGTCGCGGAACAACGATTGATTGTTCTAATCGTCCGCGATGCGACTTCAACGCGCCAAACGAGAAGTCTGAACCTATATCGCCCCTCCCCCTCGTATCCCACGGCGATGAAAATGCGATTCACAGCCCGCCGGATATTAAAGTTCGCACGTGGATACACTCGATGCCCCCCGATATACTGACCGCCGATGATTGGATCACGTCGGGGTCACCACTTGTGGACTTAGATAGGTTCAGAAGCCCCGGCAGAAGTGCCACAGAACTTCTCTTGTCGGTAGCTGGTTTTATGTTAGCTAAGGCGGTAATGACGCAACTTCACTTTTAGAGCAATACGATTATCGCAACCGCACGTCGAGGTGGCCGATCTCGATCGTGCGAGTTGAGAGGAACGACTGTTACAACTCTGTCCCGCTCGCGGCTCGGACAGCGCCACCAACGACGGCAACGACCATGAACACGTCGTGGTGTAGATGGGCAACTCAAGTCGCCACAAAATAACGCGCTGGCTCCTCGCCGATTATATTCGCCTGATACTTTTTCGATTTTCGAGAGTTCGGATTTTTTCGCAGTTGAATATTCCCGGTATTAATCGCGATCCTTGAAAATTTCTCGCGATCTTAGATTAACGCCACCTCCTTACCCGATTAATTGTTCTGGTATTTTATTGGTGTGCGAGAGCGGGATGAGGCTCGTCTTAATTCAGGAGAACGCTCAGTTGGCGATTAAGATAACAATTTTACACAATTCAATAAAGAGCGGAAGTTATCTTCCGCAAGCAACGGAGAGAGTTTCTCCTGACAATTGCACAGGCGACAAAGAAAGTCGAAATTGACGCGAATTTGACCGAGAGCAGTGACTTAGCGCGAGGATAATCCGGGCGTATGCTGCCCGGAGTTTTATATCGGAGGCTTCGCGGACCATCGGGGCTTTCGATCGCCGGCGGTGGCGGCCACTCGACCGATCCAAGACGCACAGGCAGATCGTCAGCCAGAGCAAGTCAACTGACTTTTCGAGCTTTTGAACGTCGGCGGACGTTAGGGCCAACCGATCAGCAGCCGTACAGAACCACAGCCGAGGCTCCGCCGCTCTCACATGTCCGCCCCGTGCGCTCGCGGTCCAGACGCTGATCAACTATAAGGAGAGAAAGCGAGTCACCGAAACTAGACGGGATCGTCGATGTTTACGACTTTGCGCCATTCGGCTGCGTATTCCCGGAACCCGATTACGGGTCTCGCCTTTAGCGCTCAATTTTCGCCCGGCTCCGAACAATTGGTCTGCGGGACTTTTGATTTCGGCGATTCGAAATTCCGAATTCTCGGTCATAGCGAATTCGGTTGCTTGCACTAGTGCGCACTGAGACAATTGTTTACAGTTCAATTCTTACATTTGAGAATCGTCTTAAATACTTTTTGAGATATTTCGTAGCCAGTGAGATGGTCTTGACGGCATCCACGCGGATGATATTTCGGCTAAATGCTCTTTGAACGTGTATTTAAGACAAAGTTGAGTATAAAATTTCTGACTATAAACTGGCATTAGTGTGCGCTCAGTGCGCACTAGTGCGAGCAATCGAATTCGCTATCAGAAATCTTGGACAAATTCTTGAGCCTAATCTACAGTGTGCTCTTCGCGTCTAGAAACATTCTATTTTATATCAGCAAATCAAAACGCTCAAAAACTTTGTCGACAACGTATGATTTTACGCTACTATAATTGTACAGTTTATCGCCTTGCACAAATTTTTTAAACGCATTTATTCGCTACAAAATATATCGTTTCGAGACGCAAAGAGCACATTGTAGATTAGGCTTTGGAATTCTAGATAAATCGACGTCACATTGTCGCTATTGAAATCACGTATGTATTTATAGCCAATACATTACGCATGTCTAAAAAAACATCTTTAAGACATCTTTAAGTCGTCTTTTAGACATACATATCTAAGAGACGACTTAAAGACGTCTTAAAGATGTCTTTTAGACATGCAATCTTTATACACGTCAAGATTTTATCAAAGAAGATTCTAATTATTTTTTATTGTAAGAAACTCTGCTGTGTTTGAACGTTACTCGATTTGTCTAATAATACGTGTACTACTTTGTTAACGTTGAATCATCAACGTTTTGCTGGAAAGAAGATTAGAAACGACGAATTACAAAGCTGAGAATTTTCATCTCGTCAATTGTGCCAGTTACATTGATCGTCGATCGAGTTAATTGGACTTTAGTCGATGGCATTCTTAGGGCACGCGAGTCAATTCTTTTCATCCGTGTGCGACACTATCGGGATTGTAGTAGACTTTTCTTTTTTCAAGAGTCCAACTATTGTTGTCGCGAACGAACGATTTTAGTCGAGAGCCGCGGTGAGCTTTGACGAAATGTTGATAAAAAAAATTGACGAAACGTGATTCACATTTGTCGTCTTATTGTTAGCCTCGCAGAAGGATATGCCCATTCAACGGGCGCAGCAAGTAAAACGGATGCGGTAAGGACGCGGCGACTATTCTAGGACGGAAGTACACGTCTACACGCGAACGTTTAATAGCCCACGGAGTTCGTCGCTCTCCACGTTATATTTACGGTACTAAAATTGTCCCGTGTCCAGACAGGAGCGCCTGAACCGTCTCGGGCGTCGCGAGTCCTCCTGCTTTGTTTTTGCCTCACCTCCGCGGTGCAACGTCGAGGTAAGCCGGAAAGGAAGGAGCGAACCACCGCGCGACGCAAAAAAAAATCTCTCTGCGATATCGGAGCTAGAACGTGTAATAATTCAGTTAATCCTTGCAGGTTCCAAACCGATGATTAAAATCGGGCAGAAAAGGGGGGAAAGGATTGAACTTTACAACGAGCGAGCTCCAGCGTGATTGGGTCGGCCGCGTACGTCGGTTACGCAATCCCATGACCCTACATAGTCGGATAAGCGTGACGGGCGTTATAGACATAGGCGGCGTTGCTCCTGGGACGGGCGTAAAACGGGTACGCACCGAGGCTATAAGAGACCGGTCGTCCCCGGCAAGCGCTCAGTTAGGCCAAGATCGTTCGAGGGAGTTCCATCGCCAACTCCGTTCAAACGGCTCACAAGCGAGCGAGAATCTCTACGAGTCTTCGTCCGGTCGTTTCTCAAGATGGTAAGGGACTTGACCTCCTCCACAGATCGTAAAACGTCTACTCTCTCCCTGTAAAACGGTCCTCGTCGACCGCGGGTCTGCGTCGTCGCAGACGGATGCGACGTAGATTGGCAAGTTAATCGAAGCCGGATCTCCCGTTGAAAGGAGGCGGCTGCTCTAGGTGTCTGAAAGCATACGATCTTAAATGTATTTTCCCCATTGGT